TGCATAAATTTGTGGTTGTATGTATGCGTGTGCTTTATGCCCTGCTTTCGATTGTGTATTTAGTGCATACGATGCACAGCACGGAGCGGGGAACCAGAGCTCTAAAGGTTCATCGGCTTTGTCTTATCTGTCGCCAACCCAAGGCCGCTGGCTGTGGGCTTTTTCGCCTTGCGGCCTGCTCCGGCGCTACTTCGTGCAGCGCAGCGCTTCCTGAGGGTGCTCCCGAGCCACAGTGCTTTTGTAACAACTCGAGCACACAGGCTTGCGAACCGCTGGCAATTCGGAAGTCACAGGTTCAGCCAAAGGGAAAAGCTTAGATTCTGCCTGAATCGACCCTCGTAGGCTTCGGCCCTAAATTTGAAGAGCAGGGTTTGTGTTTGGTTTTGGGTCCAATGGAATCCGCCAGAACGCCACCTACGATGAAGAGAGGTCCTGGAACCAGATGCTTGGCTATGGAGCCCACCCCCCTGAAACAGGAACTCCACTTCGTGATGCTGCATTGCAGCTTGGGGAAGCAAGCCCATCAATGTTCTCGATTTGCTGTTCATCGTCGTCTCTCGAGCCCACTCGCGGATGCTGTTGTCGGTAGTATACTGGAGTCTAGAGCGACAGGGGCTTCAGGATGCTGCGAAGAACTGGTCTTCATCGCTGAACATTTCCCCGGGGATGGATTTTAAGGGGTTCGCCGAGCCCTTTCCGAGCCCGAAGCTGAGGCTGGGATTCGGGCCTTGGGGCTGCCTGGACAGTGCGCGCTCGAGCGCTCGGGGAGGTTTTCGGAGTTGATTAACGAGAGATTCCCACTGTCCCTACTAGCGAAACCACAAGGGAACGGGCTTGGGATAATCAGCGGGGAAAGAAGACCCTGTTGAGCTTGACTCTAGTCCGACTTTGTGTAATGACTTAGGAGGTGTAGCACAAGTGGGAGCTTCGGTGATCTTGAAATACCACTACTCTTAATGTCATTTTACTTATTCCGTGAGACTGAAACTTGCATCATGTGAGTTTTTGATTTAACGTTGCCTCTTTTGGCAGCTGATCTGTGCGGAAGACATAGTCAGGTGGGGAGTTTGGCTGGGGCGGCACATCTGTTAAATGATAACGCAGGGCGTGGGTCATCTATGCGGCGGATTCTGTGTGTGATAAGAAGATGCCTAGCTTGAACGGATCCCTCTTCGACGACTTGGACAGTGGGTTCAGAGTAAGAGTCGGGACGCCAAGTGCGACACTGCCGACAAACTTGAAACTTGGCAAAAGTTGCAGACAGGCGTCCCTGCGCAAGATTTAATTTTGTTGGTGCTGTTCAAAGGGGCTCTCGAACCAGAAGCGACAGGTACAGACGACTGGTGCCTCCGCTCCGTACATGTCGGGGCAGAATGTGGCCAGGGCTGGGTGCCCGGTTTTGTTTTGAGCACTTCATGTTCTTCAGAGCCAATCCTGAAACCGTGCTAGGACACATGTCAAGCAAGCAGTTGTGACAGTTGTGTTTCTTCCGGATATGCGGTATTCACACCCCCCAAGGGCGTGTTGGGGCCGTAGCAGCTGCTGCTGGCGGAGAACCCCCAATGTTTCCTGCTGTGGTGTGTGTGTGTGGAAGAACCTCCACACCACATCCAAGATCTTTACATGGGCTGCCTTGCTGAGGCCTTTTCTACAACCTCTTTTACCGCGCTGATGCGAAGTTCTGGACGCTTGACAGTACACACATCCCAGTTTGAACTTCAAGTCCCTCCCTCCCCTCCTGACCCCGCACTTCCCTTCCAGGTGTCCAGCTCCCCACCCTTCCTCATTCAAGATCATTTCAGATCTCAGCAATTGAAAAAACATCGACCCGGTGGAAAGCCTTCCTGCATTCTAAGGAGTGCTCTCCAAGCCGAAGCCGCATCCGTCAGGCTGCTAGATGGATTAGATGGTGTGCTAACAGCGATTCTCGATCATTTACGTGCGTTTGTGGGTGGACCATGTTCGTTCACTGCACCTTTGGCCTTTTTTGAGCAGCTTGAGCAGGCCGCTCGGAGTTATGCTGGACGGCACCCTGGTTGAGTATGCACAGCCACAGAAGTCCCGTAATCAAGGCTTTGGCTTCGATTCTTGCCAGTCTAGTTTACCGACTGCGATGTATGTCGCTGCTGCATCTACAGCACTGGTCTCCAGCTTACTGCTCTAGCCTGGCTTGGCTTGTGGCTGCCTTTGTGGTGTTGCTGGGTTCAGGGAAGTGTAGACAGATGTCGAGTGCCATGCTGCACTTCCTCGAGGGCACTTGAGATAAGAGTATGCAGATTGTCTTGCATGTTTTAAGTATTCGCAGCTGAGGCTGCATCTGGCTTTACGAGAATGCAATCCGGGTCCCTGGATTTCCAGAGGTGCCTCAGAGAAAGGTGGCAACTGTTGGTTTGCATATCAGTATGGGTCCGAGTGGCAGCCTGCAAGGTGATCAACCCATGCCTGGATTTGGTCTCACAGAACCGATGCAGCGAGATCGTGGTTTACCACAAGGCAGGTATCCATGGGGCCTTTTGGGCAAGCGTTGCAATGGTTGTGCAAGGCTCGCAGATGTCATTTCTGAGTACTTGCTGCTTCGACTGGGGGTGGGCCCAGCTGATGTTGAATGTTTTTGGGTGCACTACTAGGGCGTGACAGGGGCTATATTGTGGCTGTTGATCTCACGTGCACTCTGACCGCAGCACCAACGTTGCCCTATTGCGACTGGTATGTTTTATCTCGACACTTGATTAAGTTTCTTCCAAACCACTTTCATGCTGCTACTAGATTTGCGTGCCGATCACTGATGTTTGCGACGCCGGGCACCTGATCTTGCTTGTCACATCTTGTCACATCTTGTGACAGACTGAAGAAACCAAAACCTTCAGAGCAGAACCTCTGCCTAGGGTGCCCCGGCCCAGCCCCCACCTTCCCGGCCCCCAAGGTATCCTCACCACGACCAAAGATACGAGGCTTCAAAAAGTCCCTCCTTCTGGGTGCACATAAGAACAGTTGCCAGCTTCGCCTGCTTGGACTGCGAAGGGGCTGGGGGGTTTGGCGCCCTGGGCCCTAGCGCAACCGAGAAGAAGGAACAAGGACAAGCGAGGGAGCGAGAATGAGCGAGAGCAACCTCCACCCCCACATCTTGACTGCGGCACATTGTACACCACGATTGTGATCCTGAAGCCGGACCCGCAGACTCCGCAGACCCAGTGGTGTTGTGGATCGTCCCATGCCCCCAAACTCCTTGTGGCGGGTTGCGTGTCCGGTCTCTCATTCTTGCGATGCTGCTGAGTTTCTTCAGCATGCCCGGGTGTATTCGTGTATACGGCATACACGTGTCGACGTCCCCGCTCCCAGTTGACATCTCGGAGATGCAGCGACACTCCGACAGTCAAAGCGACGACAGCCACGGGGATGCGACTTGCAGGGGCCCGATTTCTGTGACACGCCACCACGACCACATCCAGACAACCAGTTGCACAAAGCAGGACGGAAGGCACAACCCTCCAAATCGTTCCCCTCACACTAAGGACGCCGAGGATGTGGCCCTGCCTAAGTTTCAGTGCTTGGAGTTTGAGCGCGTGGTGGGAACACAATGTTTGGGGGAAGGGAGGAGGGGACCCTCGGGCAGACCACAGTGCCAAGCAGCATCGTAACGTGGCCGCTGCGATTTGCGGCACTTCGAGCGTTGTCAGAGCAACACCCCTAAACTGATTCCCGCAGGTGCCACGCGCGCCTCCGAGGGCGGACTAAGGAGTACCGCTTGACACCTATGCAAGAAAACAACATGCTGTAGTCTTACTGCGCTGCTTTGGCGAAGAAGCAAATACCTCTGTGCTCAAGCTGATTTTAGGTGATTCAAGGCCGCGGCTGCGCCGCATCGCCCGAGCTCCTCGGGGAGGCCTGGACGAAGCTGAGGCACCGCCCGACTAAGAGCTAAACAGCCAAGCGGGCAAAAGAGGCCTTCTGGAAATCTGGGATGCCCTCCGCAGAATCATACTATGACTGCAGGTTGAAGGTTCGGGAAGACTGGTTTCGTGGAATTGGGGAATGTGCAGGCAAGTGACAAAATGGAAAGCACGGAGGCAGGCGGATGCAGGTGACGTTTCTTACAGATGCTGATCCAAAGACCCCAAGCTAGTCATGATTTTGCTTCGTCAACAGAGCCAGTCTGACAATTTGTGATACTTGGGAAGTACTCCGAAGTGTATAGCCGCCCGATGATGTCAGTGACTCGGCCTCCCAAACAAGCGAGAACGGTGCAGTTTCTTCCTGACAGAACGTACTGGTTCCCGAGGGTGAGCGTCCGAGAGCTCACGCACTGCAATCGAATCCTTGCGAATGGCGAAAGGCGAGAAGGAGTAAGCGAACACACAATACTCACAGCCAACAGCTGCCATCACAATAACCCAAGATCGCAGAACTTCATAACCGCCTGCAAGCCTGAAATCCTGACTGGAGGTTGCACCCGTCGGATGCGAACGACAGCCTGTATACGTTCTTTACATCGCCAACTATGAAGCCCGAGCTGTAGCAAAAGCCCAGATGCAGGCTTCGGGTTGTGAGCCTTGGAGTCCATCTGCAAGGGTCGAAGTACATACCTCGGTGTGCTAGGGCTATCTGCAGAGAAATGCCCAGGAACCTTGGCGTGAGGTTTCTGGGGTTTCGGGTTTCCGGCGAGGGAAGTCAGGCCGAAGTCGTCGTTTGATCACGGCTTCTGCCAGCCAGCCTCTGGTTTGAGTTCCTCCTACAAGGTCCATTGTGTGCTACCAGAAAAAGGGTCTGGTAGGACAGCACAGACGGGTGGGTTTTTTTCGACAGCGCCGACAACTAACTTACACTGTGCTTGCATCGGCTTGTCAGTCGCCGAGTGCCGCTGCCACGGAGTTGGTTTCCAGGTAGATTAGGTAGATGCTCGCACCGAAGAATCGAAGTAACAGCCTGTGACCAAGACGTCTCCTATACCATACTTCCTCACACAATTGTTCGGCTCATTGGTTGGAAGATGATGTAGGTAGATGCTTGCCGCTCGACTTATCGTGCATGGCGGGCAGCTTTCTGTCTTTGCTGCATCCTTCCTTGTAGCAAAAAGCGAAGATGTCAAATGTTTGTCTGAGTACTATGAGGGGAGAGACGGCTTCAGATCCGTACCTTTGAGCCCCTTGGTCTACACTCCAATAGCGCACCGGCCAGACTGGTACTGGAAGCAAATCTTCCAAATGCGTGGTATCGATCCGGAGTCGGTTAAGTCGGGATACACGGAGGCTTGGCTCGACTTTCTGTTTGCGGGGGCCCAGGAGGCGTTGACTCTTTGCTCGATCTTGGGTGGTCACTACTGGGATTGCATCCTCGATGTCCGGAAGGTCTACGATCTTGCACGGGCCAGTGAAAAGTCCGCTTTTGCAGGGCGATTGGCAGCTGTGTTCGGCGTTAAGCTTGCACATGCACGAGACCAGTTGCCAGCCCATCTTCGGCTTAGCCTGTGTGCTCCTGGATCGTTGATAAGGCGTTAGGGAGCGGCATAAGTAAGGACGTCATAATACGTGTTTGCTTTATATCCTTTTCATGGAATTAGATCGTCGTTTAACTAGGTTCGCCAGCGAGAGCCGAGGCTCCGGCCAGCTGTACCGAAGACCAGGTCATCCAAGGCATATTCCCGCTGGCTGCTGATATGCTGATGGGAGACAGGCCACAACGAATGCTTGGCAACGCAAGTTTTCGGGACGTCGTAGTGGCCGACGAAGTTGCAGGTTGGCACGACTTTGACATCGATTTCGCTATTGTCGGGGTCGACGGCTGTGGCACGACCTCTTTGAGGAAGAACATGGAACTTCATCCTGACGTCGTGATCAAAGGTGATGGGGAGGAAACCATCTTGAGTTACGAGCTAGCCAACCGCTTGCTGCCCCTGAAAGCACAAGTTGAGGAGTACAATGCACAGGTGCAGGAAAGAATGACTGCGAAGTTCAACGAGACTGGACACCGACCGCGCGTAGTTCCCAAGCTTCCCATAGATATTTCCGCCTATATTGTAACGATCGAGCACTACGGCCCGACTGCGGTTTGAAGGGTTTCACGACTTCTTTGCGTGTGTAGGCCAGCCTCCCCTCAACATGTGAGCATGCAGATAAAGACACCACAGCTTGGTCCGAGCTAGGCACTTTCCTGGTGGGCATAAGCTCTTGCTCCATTGTACATGCAGCGCTCCTTCCCGTTCCAGGTTGGTATTGGAAATCCCCTTCTTTTCCAAAATGCCCTGGCCCGGAAAAGGTTGGCTTCGATGCCACGCTTGAAGCTCGGATCTCCAACTGCACCTTCAAGTGTGAAGGAAGTTTGTTGGGTATGCATTAGACTATGAGACATGGGATTCATTACACATGTGTGTCTGTGTAGGTATATTATTATGTAGACACGTATATCTGTATGTGCATCTCTCTATACCTGCGTATGTGTATGTTATACGTTTGTATATGTATGTGTCATGGATGTAGGGTTTGGATCGAGCCTGTAGCAAACATTGCTAAGCCCCAGTGCCCTTGCTCGCCCAAGAGACGGCGAAGCACTCTCCGGCGTGGCACTGCAATCAACGCAATGCACGCCATAAGGCACGACAGCGAGAGCTAGGTACAAGCCATCTGCCAATAGGATGCTCTCGGAAAGGCGACCGATTCACCATGTACACTGATGTCCCATGCATCGGCCTCATGAGCATCTCAAGAACACGAATATGTTGTCTGTCCAAATTCTCTTTTGCTTCATCTTGCGACTGCCACCAAAGCACATGCTGCCACGGCTTGTAGCCTCTATGCTTGGCTTCGGCTAAGCCAATCTGGACGCTCTCAGCTTGAGCAATTCATTCGATTCTCGTATGCCGTTCCCCTTCGCAAAACATGTGGATATCGCGTTCGACATGGATCACATCGGGCTGGTGCACATTTCGGCAGTCCCGGAACTTCAGTTTGCAGCACAGGTGGTTCGACCTGCGGGTCCAAATCATGTGCTGCTCGATCATCATCCCGTTGAGCGATCACTGCCTTGAGCTACTCGATCTCGGACTCGGCTTCACGGAAACAGGATGGCAGTCGCTTAAAACAAATCATGAGCATCATGCTGGCTATCGTGAAGTGGCTTTGCGCCCCTGGGTTATGGGAAGAGGGGACAGACAGAGAAATGGGAGCAGCCGGCATGGGACGGAGAAGCTGGATACGACAAGCACACAGGTGGGCGTGGACCACCATCGCACTTGTGGGATGGGGCGAGACACGTCTCGCCCAAACACAAGAACAAGCCTACCCACCTGCAATACGATCAGATGGAGGTGCGTGGCCATGCTACTACGTCCAAGCCTTCGACGACACGCGAGGCTGGCCCGAGTCAAAAGATTCCTATCTCTTGGGCGGGCGGCACAGAAGGCTTTATCCGATGCTCGCACAGCGGATGGGAAAATTCGGCGACTACGCGACGAGCTCCGCAAGAAGGAATCTCAGTGGAAGGCCTACCAGAAGGCGAAGAAAGCCGAGTTTTTGGCCGAAGAGCAACGCTACCATGCCGACCAGGTGAAGATCGAGGAAACCATTCAGGCCACAATGCAGACGGGGCAGGAAGCTTCGCAGCTGCTCCAAGATCTGATTGCGAATGGTATTTCTGCCAAGTCGACAGAGATGGAGGAGGAAGATGGCACCTGGGAAGCTCTTCTCAAGGAGCCGCCCACCGCCGAACAGCCCGTGACGGGGCTGCCGAGACTCTGCGCCGCAGCCAAGGACAGGCGAAGCACAACGAAGGTGGATTCATAAGTCAGGCTGCAGCCTTGCAGCTCCTTCAGGCTACATTGGCGCAGCTGCCTCCTGGATTGACGCTTCCTGGAGCTTCCGGGCAATTGCCGAGCACAGCCACTGCCTTGACGCCTTCGGGAGCAATTCAGGGAACGGTAGCGGGGAATTTTGCGCCGCCGCCGGGGCACCCTACGCCTTTTCCGGCATCTCCTTCCACTACTACACTGGTTCCTCAGCCAGCGGCCCATCAAGGGATGCCAACGACCAGCCCGGGACTTCCTTCCAAGCCAGGCACCAGACAACCTATCAAAGGTGCAGCACTACATCCTGTGCATACTGGGACGGGACATCCAGAGAAGTTGGCGGAGAAGCTAGATGCCGCAAGACAGCAGATCCTCCGCCACAGTGCGATGTAGCCTTTCGGACTGCCACTTCCAAAGACGACGGCAGACTCATGTGGATCCAAGGCGGGACACACAGTTCCAGTAGACGACGACGACTTGGAACTGCAGGCTCCTTTCCAGGCAAGGCGATCGAACCACCCCTCCCAGAAGGAACCGCTCTTGGTCGACAACGGATGGTGGTGTTGTCCGACAAAGCCCGGCAACCGGATGGAGGGGTCCGACACCGACGCTATGCCTGTGAGAGGAGTCGCGGCCGGCCCGCTGCGGTAGCACTGTAAAGACAGTTTTTCCATGTCCTCTTTTCCTGCTGCCTGCCCACACTCGCCTGTTCATGCGAGCGATACTGAGGATATGTCCCTCGCCTCGGGAGGATTCTCTGACCACAACATGCTTCTCAGCTTCAGCGCGCCATATTTACAGGCTGCGCTTGTGAGGGAGGACAGTGCAAGATGGTATGCTGAATATTGGCGCCTAAGAGGTGTATCGGTGGCTCAGGGACACCCGCCATCCAGCGACCACTTGCACTATGGACAGCATGGCCGTCGACTTCACCGACCCGTTTTCCATTCCCAGGGTGCCGACAACCAGGATGGGTTCAGGTTGTATGGTTCCTGTTTTGCCTGGGTCGGGCAACAAGCACAATCTTCTGGGTTCCTGCTATTGTTGGGGCTCACGGTTTTGTTGGGTGACCTGCTCCTACATGGCCTCCGGCTACGTAACGCACGATTGGGGATCGTCCTCGGATGGCCAGCCAGGCTGCTACACCGCCACACTCTCAGGGGATTTGAGAGGTTCCTGTTGATCAGTGCTCACTTCGCCGAGAGAAGGCCCACTGCATCACCGTCTCCGTGAGAGACGACCTCCGATTTAGTAACCGTCGAGCCGGTTTATGGGGAATAATACTTTCCTTTTTTAGGGTTCCGGTACCTCTGACTCCGACTTGTCATAGCAGCCCTGTGCCGGGTCTGCGCTTGCTTGCCGGCCTTCCAATACGGGCCGCAACGTGGCGCGTCTGCTGCGAGGGATCAGGACTATTTCCTTGCCCAAGGTGCCAGTTCAGAGGAAGACCAGTTCACTCCGACTCAGTTGCCTGAGCAGACAGCTGCAGCGGCCGTCTGGCCTGCCCGCTTCTCTGCCGAGGGCCATAATAATCAAGCGCTTGATGTAACACCCAAGAGCGCACGTCGGAGGCACTAGGCTCAGATTGGCTTGAGGTTTTAGTTATGGCCCCGCACTACCAAACCACAGCATGACCCATGCGTATAAGTCGAGACCACAATCCGGACCAACTCCTGTGCGACGTCTTGGACAGCTCCCCTCATGCCATGCCATCGCCTCCCTCATCCGGAAACGGGTCTTCGCGTGGATTTGGCTACTGGCAGAGACGAATAGCTCAGCCCATGTGTTGGCCCGTCATGACGCCATCGGGTCTGCGGGACTGTCCTCAGCGCCTCCCTACCCTGCCGACTGATACGGAGTGCCAACACATGCTTGGGATAGATCCTGCCCTCATGCAGGACGGTACTGGTCCAGACCCTAAGAATGTTTCCTATGGCACCATAGATCTGCGGATCTTAACGGTTAACGTCCATAGCCTAGACCCAGGCCCCGTGAGTTGCCCGAAGGAGCTCCTTCTGTTGAGACTGGTGCCTTTGTTGGACGTACCCGGATCAACTCTCCGGCTGTGCACTGGGACCCCAGATCCCTACTTGTTCGATACACTCGGGGCTCTGTGCGTATCCTCTTTGCCAATGTTCACGCCCCACACGGTGCGGATAAGGATCGTGAGCCTTGGTGGAACATGCTGTTCCAAACTTTACGGAGAACAAGCCGAGGGGAGACCTAGTCCTTTAGGGGATTTCAACCTTACTATCACTGACAGTTTGGGGATGCCGTAGGCGATCTGCTTTGCCCTGGTTCTGCCCAGCTGGCCCTCGCCGGATTCCGTCAACTCCTTTCCCATTTCGGTCTTTGGCTTCCCTGCACATATAGCCATTGTCACCCTGGCGATTCCTCAACATGGTTTCTTGGGGGGGGCGGTACGGGTCGCCGTTTAGACTACATCGCCATACCCCGTGCATGGCAGGCACCGCAGGCCACTAGCTGCACAGTTCCTGACCTTGACTGGGGGCAGGGTCACATTGACCATGTCGCGGTGGCTCTGGATGTGAAGGCTTTTAAAGCCCTGTTTGCCACCCACCGCCAACGCAATGTGCGCCTCAACACTGCGGCTATGCGCGAACGGGAGGGACAAGTCCTTCTTCGAAACATTTGCAGGGGTCTTCCACTCCAGCCCTGGGCCCTGGACGTGCATCGGCATGCGGCTGCCGTCGACCAATGTTTCCGGGACCGCCTTGCTACAGCTTTTCCTGCTACTAAGGCTCGTTGCCGCCGAGAGTACTTTGGGACAGACACTTGGCGGACAAGGAGCCTCCGGACCTGGCTACGCAAGCGCATCCGAGCTGGCAGGAGATGCATCGAGCACTTCCATAGTCCTGCTTTGGCTTGCCAAAGACCTTCCAGCCTATGTGACAAGCTTCCGGTCCTCCAGTAAGGAGCTACGGGCGCTGATCAAGAGGGATACACAGTCTCACATCAGCGCGGCTGCAGCCTCCCCTGCCTGCAGTGGAAACTACCGAGGGAAGCCTCGCGACCACGGCAGACGAGGCGAAACAATGCTGGATTCAGCATTTCTCCCGTATAATTAGAAGACGGCACCATTCGGGATCCTACGGCCTTTGTACATGACTGCTATCGCCGCCAGCATCAGCGAGACCTCGAGGATTATTCCCCTCAGCCGCAGGACATCCTTGATCGTACTGAGCTAGAGTACGCGCTGCGCAGCATGCAGACTGACCGTGCATACGGCTTGGATGCGGTGCCGGGTGGGATGGCCCACTATTGCGCACCGCAGCTCTCGAGGGCCTTGTTTCAAATACGCCTCAAGGGGGGTCATGCGGCTACAGGGACCGGTGCAATACAAGGGGGCAACCCTTTACTGCGTTTACAAACACAATTAGGCTAAATTCAATTAGGGTCCTAGGGCATGCTACTCCTCCTACCGTGGGATCTTAGTCAGTTCGGTTCTAGGAAAGGCCGTCCACAAACTCTTGAGACGCCACACCGTGCCGTCGCTTGCCTCCGTGGCGTCGCCACTCCAGGTCGGGGGCCTTCCGGGGTTC